AAAGAAGGAGAGGCAGAGATCTTCCACCCACTGGTTCATTCCCCAGGTGGCTGCAATGGCTGAGTTTGGGCCAGGCTGAAGCCAGGATCCAAGAGCTTCTTCTGGATCTTCCATGTGGGTAGCAAGAACCTAAGCACTTGGGCCATCTTCCACTATTTTTCTCAGGCCATTAGCAGGGAACTGGATCTGGTATTCCATATAGAAGATGGAAATGGCAACAATATTATTATTAGGAATGTAGAATAAAAGGGAGATGCTCTCTCAACTCCTCAATTTCTCCTTTTTTTAAGAAATTTTATTTTAAAAAGTTTAATAAACTTGAAAATTGTACATATTTGTACCACATTCTGTTTCATTACGTGTGTACATTGTGGGGGCCGGCGCCGTGGCACAGGTTAATCCTCTGCCTGCGGTGCTGGCATTTCATATGGGCACTGATTCTAGTCCCGGCTGCCCCTCTTCCAATCCAGCTCTCTGCTGTGGCCTGGGAAAGCAGTAGAAGATGGCCCAAGCACTTGGGCTGCTGCACCTGCATGGGAGACCCACCTGGCTCCTGGCTTCGGATCAGCGCAGCTCCAGCCATTGCAGCCATTTGGGGAGTGAACCAGTGGATGGAAGACACCTCTCTCTCTCTCTCTCTCTCTCTCTCTCTCACTGTCTGTAACTCTACCTCTCAAATAAATAAAGAAAATATTTTTTTAAAAAAGTATACATTATGTTAGGTCCAATTTTCTTGTCTTTACCAAAAACAAAACAACAAAAAAAGCTAACCTTCATAGGTCAAACTAAGCAAATGCTATTGGAAAACCAGACTTCAATAGAATAGATTTTCTGATTATGTTCTTATTTAGGGAAACTTTAAATGAAATAAGGTTATTGCAGATTAATTTTACAGGAGAGGAAGGCTTCCTTGATTCAACAAAATTAATTACTCTAAAAAGGAGAAGTCTACTGATTGCATTTTTTGGTGCTTTTTCAGCATACTCAGCAGTCTTCCCTCCTGAATATTTCAAAAAAAGCTTTTAGCACAAAGTATATTCTCTGCCTTAGATTTACTTCTGTTGTTTATTTCTGTCTGTAGTCTGCGTAAATATAATGTTAAAACTGGAAAAGTTCATAGAAATCAGCTAAACTTTGGGGGATCAAAGATCACTTTGAGAACTGAGTAAAATATATACATTGTGTTTATATTTAGGTCAGTAAGTAATTCTTGACATGGAAAGGAGCTACAGAAAGTTCACAGAAAATGTGTATTTTCTTTTAATTCCATTTTTCCATTACATTTTTGAAGATCCCTTGTAGATGGAGAAATCCAAGATTTTTCAAGATACGGATAGGTCAGTGATAGAAGAAATAAGAATGATCTACTCATGCACACTAAACCCTGCCCAAACTCCATGTCTTATGTTTATTCAGTTAGAGTGCCACTCCCTGCCCTAAAGGGGACTGCTGAACTGAAAAGCATACTTTCTCTGTCTTTCTCCCATCATCTCTCCTGGGAAGTAGCTCTGGCCCTAGCCTGGCAAGTATCTTCATGGGGGTTACCCACTTTCACATTTGAATGAATTCTCACTCTTTCATTTTAAATAAATCCTGCTCTTATTTATGCACCTTACTTATATCTCTGCCTTGGATTCTTATCTCATTCAAGAGCAAGGACTTTGAATAAAAGCCAAGAATTACATCCCTACAGCACTACCTCATAACTTAGCAACGGTAATTTTAACCTTTAACAGTTCACTAAGATGTAATCTACTTGTTTTCTTCATTGGAAATCACCACTTTTTAAAAAAAAAAAAATCTGTTCTTTGGAATCAAATCACTAAGTTCAATCCACATTGAGGAGAGGTGAATTAAGCTATCCTTCCTAAAGGGAGATGCATCATGGGAAAGTGGGCAGACTGGATTGGTATTGTAAGAGGGTAGAATTAAAGTACAGGGCTGCAGGACAGAAATTGTAGGAAAATCTTCCAGCTCATTTTTTTCCCCCGAACTTCCTGCCAATTCTGGGCCCCATATCAGTAACACATCAATGATAAAGTCTTATTTTCTATAACCAATACTACTTTAATCTTGGGAAAATATCTAACAAGACCAAAATAAATTCTACAAAATACTGGATGAGTACTCTTCAAAAATGTCAAAGACATGAAAAACAAGGAAAGTCTAAAAGGCTACCACAGACTAGAGAGACCAAGGAGACATGATAACTAAATGCTGGTGGAGTCCTGGACTGGATCTTAGAAGAGAAGGTGAGGACATTAGTGAGAAAACTGGCAAAACCCAAATAAAGTCTTTAGATTGTAGTGTTATGCCAATATTGATGATATAATTTTGACAGATATGCCAGGTTAGGAGAACCCGGATGAAGGCTATCTGGACACTTTAAATCCAGTCTTCGCAACTTCAATATAAAATGTTTAATAAAGATTCATTCTGTCTAAAAATACATTTTGTGCCATTGAGCATCTCTTTGTTTATTGATCTTTTATGAATTGTGTTTCAGAATCTTTGTTCATTTCTAGTTTTTTATTAGGTACACTTTTATGTGCTGTTATCTGTGGCTTTACCACTGCATAGGTGTAAAAACCTTGTTTGTATTCATTTATACACTATTTTTCAGACTTTAAATTCTAAAAAGAAGGCTGATTTTAAAGGTTTCCTTTTGTTGTCTTCTCCTCTGCTTTAGATACTGGTAGCTTTTCATAGTATCTCAGGTCATTCTTCTTAAGTGCCTGTTAAGTGCCTTTGCAGATAAGAAAAATGAGACTTAAAAGTTAATAATTACCAAAACTCAAATTTAGCTGGGACTGGATTTAAATCCTGGTCTTGCTTTATTCTTCCTCTGTTAAGATAAGTTGCTTTTTCTGCAGTACAATAGGAGAACTTCAGAGGAATTATTTGTGGCTTTTTAAAATCAAATAAGAACGACAGGTGTTGTAGCACAGTGGGTTAAGCTGCCACTTGCAATGCCAGCATCCCATATCAGAATGCTGATTCAAGTCAGCTCTGCTTCCCATCTAGCTCCCTGGTAATGCACCTGGGAGGGCAGTGGAGGATGAGCCAGGTATTTGGGACCCTGCCACCCATGGGGAGACTAGGATGGCTCCTGGCTCCTGGTTTCAGCCTGGCCCAGACTTGGCTGTTGCAGCCATTTCAGCAGTTAACCAGTGGGTGGAAGATCTTTCTCTCTTTGTATCTTTAACATAAATCAATAAATATTTTTAAAAACCAAATAATATATATTTACAAAATGTAAAATTAAAATCCATCTTTTTTCCTAAATTAAGCATACAAGGAAAAGTTGAAAATTGGATTGATCAAGTGAACCAAGTAAGAAAATACTATTGACTTAAAATTTCTGGTTGAACACGTTTTTAGAAAGTCCATTGCACTTTTTACTTTCTGTTAGAAAGTAATATAGCAATAAAAAAGTATACCACTGGGTTTTGAGGATTTTGAAGTTAATAACAACATGATCATTGTTTGCAGTTTGTTGAATTTCAAGATAGAGGAGGAAAGACAGTATAACACTTCTGTGTTTTGACTTGTACTCTGAGACTGTGATTATACTTACTAGTTCAAGTAAAGCCACCCTTGAATTTAAGAAACATTTACTTTTCTAAAACGCTATTTTATGTATACTTTAGAAACAATCATTGGTTAGAGTCCCAGATCTGCTTCTTACCCAATTTTGTTATTTTATTTATTTGAGTAGGAGAGAGAAAGAGGGAGCGCATGTGGATGTTTCCATCTGCTGGTTCACTCCTCGGATGCACGCAACAACCAGGCCTGGACCAAGCCAAACCAGATCTTCCTTATGGGTGGCAGTAATCCAGCCATTTGAGCCATCACTACTCCCTCCCAAGGTCTGCATTAGCAGAATGCTGGATTCAGGAGCTGGAGCTGGGTATTGATCCCAAGTATTGCGTTATTGGACACAGGCATCTTGACCAGCATCTTAGCCACTAGGCTGAATGCCTACCACGAGTTTTGTTATTTTAATCTCCATGCATATGTCTCCCGTGTCATCCTTGTAACTTATGATAGCATGTCTATACAAGCTACCTTGTTAAACCTAGAATGTAAATGCCTTTGACTATTTCAGGCTCTTGTCTGGAACTCCAAGGAAAAAAGGTGTTTATTCTCAGCAGTTTGTATTATAGTGAGAAGATCTCTTAAGAATTTCTTTTTGGTGTGTAAGTTCCATCTAATAATAAAGACCATCTTTAAAAATAAAAATCCACAGTCTGAGAGGAACTTCACAAGAATATGTTCTTACAACATACAGTATTATCAACTACTATAGATCACAATTTTAAAGTTCAGTTACTGTCAGAGTTTCTGATCTAGAGATCACTAGATCAATTTTCTTATTTTGGTACCTGCCAAAATTCACTTGTCATCTTAGACCTTGAATACCTTCCTGCAAATAAGTTATGGCAACTACCTTTACTAGGATTTAGTATCTTTTTTTTCTTCCACTAATTATTAAGGACTAACTTAAATAATAACTTCATAGCTTTAGGATAATCTGGTTTCCTAGACACAAAGGAAATTGCAAATGAAAATCTGTATGTCATGATGATAAGGATTTCCAAAAACCTTGATTATCAAAATAAGAGGAAGCCTAAAGGGGCCAGACCTCATGGCACAGCCTGTGGTTTACAGCATCAGCTCAAGTTTGGCTGCCCTGCTTCCAGTCCGTCTCCCTACTGATCCTATCACCCACGTGAGAGACTAGGATGGAGCTCCTGGTGCCTGTCCCAGCCCTAGCTATTCCAGTCATTTGAGGAGAGAACCAGCAGATGAGAAATTACTTTCTCTCTGTCTCTGTCACTCTGCCTTTCAAATGAATAAATCTTTAAAAAAAAAAAAAAAAGAAGAAGAAGAAGAAACCTGAAAATAAGGTTGTTAAGGTCTGCTTGTGAATGGATTCTTAGAATTGTGTGATGGTACAGACATGAGGTGACATATTGTACTTTATGTTCTCTTATGAGATGGTCAAGCAGGTACACCCACTGGAGAGGACACCGAAGAAGCACAGAGGGGAAAAGTCCGTGGTACTCACAGGTCCTAGAGTCAGAGTCACTGCATGCCTAGAGGAGATCGCAGAAGGCAAACAGAGGAGCCAACTCAGCCGTCAGGTGGGGAGCACAGAGACATCAGTGACCTCTGAGCAAGTGCCTTTAGTAGGTGTCAGCATGAAACACATAGGAAAAGAGGCAAGAGAATTTCATTGATGGTTTAAATGCTACTAGGTCAAGATCAGTAGAGATTAGAAAGGAAAACTTGTAGCAAGGTTACCAGACTGGTGCTTGTTGAGTGTTCAACAGCCTATTGGTGGGAATGGTGAGGCAGCAAAAAAAATGTGAAGTTTTAAAATATACAGTATACATTGTAATTGTTTGCTCATGTCTCTCTCTCTCCTTCCATACTGAGCTCTATTATGACTTTGTTTTGTTTTTGTTTTTTTATAAATCTGTATTGGCAGCATCTAGTACTGTGGTTAAGCGTTAGACCACCTTTCAAGATGGGAGACTAAGGAAACAAAAAGAACAATAGCTTGTGAGTAACCTAAAGTCCTCCCGAGAGATGTCCAGGTGATAGAGGAAAGGGAGCGAGGGTGGGAGAGGCAGAGAATATTATAGGGCCATAATCATCTGAGCTGAATGAGAGACAACCTTCCTCTGAAAATCAAGGACCTTAGGCTGGAATGAGGGTGTGGAGGAGTTTAGAATAGCAACTCTGGGAAATTCAACAAGTAAACTAATAATTAAAAAAAATAGCTCAAGAGGACTCAGCTGAGGATAGAGAGCAGCAAATAAACACTCAAACCCATTTTAAAGCCAAGTGTCTGAATAATGTAAGAACAATATTAGAATAATGACTGTTGCTGGACCTCCAGAGATGTTGTGGCTTTTGCTGCCAAATATATCATCAGAGTGTTTTTGTTATTTTTATACAATGCTATCCTCTGTCCTTGAAGGTAGTCTCATTGATGGTGATTCTGTTTCTGTGAAGGCGTGGCTGGTGAGATCATATATAAACAACATTACCCATTTGGTCCATAAAGCCCCTCTATGTATTATTTTCTGTTTCATGACTGTGAAGCTATTAGTGTGACTTAGGGTTCACTCAGCACAGGGTCCGTCGCACAATGCCAATGCTCCAGGAGCTGACAATCTAGTGAGAAAGGGCCAAATGCATTAGTAGTTGCAGTGTCATCTAAGAAGTGCCTTCAGGCAGTATTTTATTTTTATTTATTTTTTATTTATTTGACAGAGACAGAGAGAAAGGTCTTCCTTCCATTGGTTCACCCCCCCAAATGGCCGCTATGGCCGGCGCTGCGCTGATCTGAAGCCAGGAGCCAAGTGCTTCCTCCTGGTCTCCCACACGGGTGCAGGAGCCCAAGCACTTGGGCCATCCTCCACTGCCTTCCCGGGCCACAGCAGAGAGCTGGACTGGAAGAGGAGCAGCTGGGACAGAATCCGGCACCCATATGGGATGCTGGCACCGCAGGCGAAGGAATAGCCAAGTGAGCCATGGTGCCGGCCCCTATTTTATTTTCAAGGCATTGGGTCTCTAATGTTACAATTACAAGGAGTTAATGAGTGGTGCTGGACAGCTTGGAGGAAATAGGGAAGACTTTAAGAAATGATACATAATTTGCATCTTCAAGGACCAATTTGCCAGTGGAACCCGGGAGGGAAGGGATTTTGTACTAGTATTTCTCAACCTTGTAAAATCCATATAATCTTCCTTCGGCATGAAAATGTCTTTCCTTCCACATTATTTTTAATTTTCAACTCAAATGAAATATTGTTGAAAGTAAATCAGTGGGGGTGGGGCTGGTGTTGTGGCATAGCAGGTAAAGCCTCCACCTGCAATGCCAGCATCCCATATGGGCACCTGTTCATGTTTTGACTGCTCTGCTTCTGATCCAGCACCCTGCCGATGGCCTGGGAAAACAACAGAAGATGCTCCAAGTGTTTGGGACCCTGCACCCACCTGGGAGCCCTTGATGCAGCTCCTAGCTCCTATCTCAACCTGACCCAGAGCTAACTTGTTTCCGCCATCTGGGGTGTGCACCAGCAGATGGAAGGAAGATATCTTTCTCTCTCTCCCCGTCTCTCTTTCTCTCTGTAATTCTGACTTTCAAAATAAATAATTAAGGGGCCAGCCTTGTGGCATAAGCTGGCACCTGAGATGAGTGCCTATTGGAGTCCTGGCTGCTCCACTTCAGATCCAGCTCCCTTCTAATACGTCTGGGAAAGCAGCAGAAGGTGACCCAAGTCTTTGGGCCCCTGCCGCTCATGTGGGAGACCTGGAAGAAGTTCCTGGGTCTCAGACCAGCCCAGCTCCAGCCATTGCAGCCATTTGGGTAATTACCCAGTGTATGGAAGATCTCTCTCTCTCTCTCTTTCACTCTGCCTTTCAAATAAATAAATAAATCTTTTAAAAAATAAAAGAAATAAACCTTAAAAAAACAGCAGATATGTAGAATCTACAATGCATGACATTGCTACACGATCATAAGGTTTTTCTCAGAACACGGACTTTTATTATCTCTACATAGCATTAGTGAAGGCCAGTTTTTCATATGAGTTCCTCATACAAAGTGCCTTTAATGCAGGATCACAGATTGTTACTTTCCATTCTGCCTTTGTCCCTTTGGTAGTTCACAGTAGATTTTCAGTGAACTGTGACATTGATGTTCCCAGGTTGGTCTAAAGTCTCTGTTATGCACCTTCTTAGAACTGATGCTAGAGATTTTGACACTTACCATTTTGACTAATAATCGCCCTTTTTAATTTATCTGCATCCCTTGAAAGCATGTAAACCAAAAGAGAGCATAAATTATAATCTTTTGTTGTTTTATTTGAGGGACAGAGAGACAGAGCTCCAGTCTACTAGTTTACTCCCTAACTGCCCACAACAGCCAGTCAGAGCTACTGGCTGCCACCAGGAACTTAGTCTACCTCTCCCCTGTGGGTGGCAGGGATCTAATTACTTGAACCTAGGATCTGTATTAGCAAGAAGTTAGGGTAGGGGCCAGAGCTGGGAATGGAACCCAGGTACTCTGTGTGGGACATGAACATCTAAATATATATATATTTTTTTGACAGGCAGAGTTAGACAGTGAGAGAGAGAGAGACAGAGAGAAAGATCTTCCTTCCATTGGTTCACCTCCCAAATGGCTGCTACGGCCGGCGCATTGCGCCAATCCGAAGCCAGGAGCCAGGTGCTTCCTCCTGGTCTCCCTTGCGGGTGCAGGGCCCAAGCACTTGGGCTATCCTCCACTGCCTTCCCGGGCCACAACAGAGAGTTGGACTGGAAAAGAAGCAACCAGGACAGAATCCGGCGTCCCAACCAGGACTAGAACCCGGGGTGCCGGCGCTGTAGGCAGAGGATTAGCCTAGTGAGCCATGGCACCGGCCAGAACATCTGAATCTTAACCAGCATCTAATCATTTGGCTGAATACCCACCCTTAGATTATCAGGTTTTTGTGCAATTCATTGTTATTCCCAGAACAATGCCAGGCACCAAGTAAATAATGAATATATGAATAATGAGTAAAAATGGTTAAAAATCATATTAGCATTAGACAAAAAATTATACAACAAAACAAGCCTGTTTGTAGTTCATCCTCCCACCTTCATTGCTCTAGCACGCCAGCTCTTTCTCTGAAGCCTTCCTCTGCTTTTTATGTTTCTCTGCTTCAGGGGCCTGTGTCTGCGTCTTGCCGTGAGCTGATATTCAGGCAGTAGTGGAAGAGAAGGGATCTGGTTAACATTCTCATGAAGAATAAGAGTTTGTGATGGCCTCTAGAATTTAAAGATGCCATTTTTGTAATTTTCCTATGTCTTTCAAAAAATGTGTTTACAGAAGTAATATAGAAACATGGTACAAAATGCGAAATACAGAGAGAAACATGAATTGATGAATGGTTTCCCTTCCTCTCTCTGCCCATCAACCATCAAAATGTGGCCCCCAGAAACCATAGTTAATCAGTGTCTTGTGTGTTTTCATGGAATTGTTCTACACATGTTCATTTTATATGTCTTCTAATTTAACTTATCATGTCTTCTCTTTTAAAGTTTTTTTTAAAGATTTATTTATTTATTTGAAAGGCAGAGTTACAGAGAGGCAGAGGCAGAGAGAAAGAGAGGTCTTCCATCTGCTGACTCGCTCCCCAGATGGCCACAAGGGCCAAACCGACTAGGAGCCAAGAGTTTCTTGAGTCCCCCAGGCAGGTGCAGGGGCCCAAGGACTTGGGCCATCTTCCACTGCTCTCTTAGGCCACAGCAGAGAGCTGAATCAAAAGCGGAGCAGCCGGAACTTGAACCAGTACTGGCTTTACCTGCTATGCCACAGCAACAGCCCCTTAAATAGTTTTTAAATTTATGTTTAACCAGCAGCTTGGCTTGTCCTGTAGAGTTTCTCACAGTCTAGATTATGCTGATTAAATCCCATGCATTGTTTAACGTGTTGCTGTGTCCCTGTGTTTCAGAATACTGATATTAATAAAATCTAGAGACTTCAGGCTTGATCCTTTTTTTTTCCTTCTCAAGATCACTTCCTAAGTTAGGTTGTATCCTTTTAGGAACCCTATGATGTTTGGTTGTATTTCTGTTGCCAACATTAGCAGCCCCCAGTGATCCTAGCCTAGATCCATTATATCATTAGTGATTGAAAAAAAATGTTAATATTCTGATTCTCATTCCTTCATTTATTTGCTGGATATGTGCATAAAGAGATCCCTCTACTCGCTTACTTACTTACCCCACTGTACAGTGATGCAGTTAATTCAGGTAAAAATGTAAGATTTTTTCCCTAATGTCTTTCAAATGATTTTTTTCTTTAGTATTTCTGTGAACATATGGATTTAACCTAATTTTAGGTTTAAGCATATTAAGTAGTTAAGATACTACTTGGGACAACTTTATCCCATGTCAGAGTGCCTGGGTTCAAGTCCTAGCTCTGTTCCCAATTCTAGCATTCATGATAATGTATTTTCTAGGTAGAAGCAGATGATGGCAGTGGTTGGGTTCCTGCCACTCATGTGGGAGATTCAGACTGAGTTTCTTTTTCCTTTTTTTTAATTTTTTTTTTTTGACAGGCAGAGTTAGATAGAAAGAGAGA